TCTCATTGAATAACCTTGGGGTAGGCTGAGTGTCCGGGGTGCGTACAGAGACTGATGGGCCCGGGTCATATACCTAGGGGGGATGTCTGCACCCTCTGGTGGCTGGCTGAGGGCATTACACCCATCAAGTGTCATCCTCGGGGCCCGTTCACACCAGATCTGGTCCCGGAAAACGGTGTGAACCGGCCCGCAGTCCCGGTGCATTCCAGACCAGACAATGTGGGACACGCCATATCTTTCTGGTCTGGAAGGACTGCGCTGGTGTGTACAGAGGCCAGAAGTAGCATAGGGATACATTAGGATGCATTTTGGGTCCGGAAACAATCTGGTCTGGAGATGATCTGGATGTGGTGTGAATGGGCCCTAAAACCTAATCGGCGCCAATCTGAGGTCCCTGTGTAAATTCAGCCGTCTGTAGTTCATGTTCAGATTGTATGTAACGTGTGCATAATGTAGGCAGCCTTGGCTCTCCAGCTGTGCTGAAACTACAAATCCCATCATCAGGGGCGTAACTAGAAATCACAGGGCCCCATAGCTAAATCTTGTATGGGGCCCGGTGTGATTTCTAGATAAGTTCACCTGATAACCCAAACAGCCCACCTGAGGGTGACCCTGCAGAGCCCACCATAGACTCTCTGTGGTGGGATCTGCAGGGTCTCAGGCGGGTGGTCAAGCCCTCTTACCTGTCTGGCCGATCCTCTGTCTGCCTCCTTCTCCTCCACCATCGCTTGCGGGCCCCGCCTCCTCCGCCCTTTTTTCGAACGCCGGGCCCGCCTCCCCATCGCTAAGACCTGCCTCCTCCATCGCTGCCGCCGACGGGCCCAGCCACCTCCTCCGAAGCTGCTGGTTGTCACCGACTCGGCAGCGGATGAGAGGAAGTATGCGCCGCTGCACATGTGAATAGCGGCTGGTTTCTCCTCACAGCCGCCAGTGACAGCCAGCAGCTTGAAATGCCATGACGACCCAGGCGGATGTGCCCCGGGGGCCCCATAGCGGCCGCCTTGGTCGTCATGGTGATTGTTACGCCACTGCCCATCATGCCTGTGGGAGTCATGCCTGTGGCTTGCAATGCCTTATGGGATTTGTAGTTTCAGCACAGCTGGAGAGCCGAGGTTGCCTACCCCAAGTGGAATTCGGGTGCTCACGCTGCTTGGATTTGGAAACCTCCGTTGCCGTATCTCGTGTGTTTTTGGTTTTTAGTTGTTGGGATTCCTTTTGAACCGATTGACAGCAAGTCGTTGTTGTGTTTTTTGTGTTTCAGCTGCCGATGCTTGTTCACCATGAGCGGGTTAGGTGAAAACTCTCTGGACCCTTTGTCTGGCGATTCGAGAAAGAGGAAGCCATCGTTATGTGACACTCCAGGCCCCAGGTAAGCCGCCCCCCTCTGGCACGGCGCGTCATTAATACATAGTGCCAGACAACAAGTCCAGGCAGGTGTACTGATCGTTCTGTCCAGGAAGAACTGCAGCTGTGCTAAACTCCGCTATTCCAATCAGTTTACCTAAATCCGCACTTTATATAAGTATTTGCCGCCCAGATTTCTGAGCACCGCTGTGCTGTGCAACTTCCCTCTCATGCTAAAATTTCCAATCAAAGTTTATAATAGAAATACAGCCCAAAGATTTACATTTCCACCACTGCCCACTGCTCAGCATGCCTAGAGCTGCATAATGTTTACACTTCTCACTGCTCAGCCTGACCAGGTCTGGGTAGTGTTTACACTTTTCACCTGCTTGGCCTGCCCCGGTCTAGGTAGGGTTTACACTTCTCACTGCTCAGCCTGCCAAGGTCTGGGTTGTGTTTACACTTCTCACTGCTCTGCCTGCCCAGATCTGGGTTGTGTTTACACTTCTCACTGCTTGGCCTGCGCAGGTCTAGGTAGTGTTTACACTGCTCGGCCTGCCCAGGTCTGGGTAGTGTTTACACTGCTTGGCCTGCCCAGGTCTGGGTAGTGTTTACACTGCTTGGCCTGCCCAGGTCTAGGTAGTGTTTACACTTCTCACTGCTCGGCCTGCCATGGTCTGGGTAGTGTTTACACTTCTCACCGCTCAGCCTGCCAAGGTCTGGGTTGTGTTTACACTTCTCAGCCTGCACAGGGATAGGTATTGTTTACACTCCTCACTGCTCAGCCTGACCAGGTCTGGGTAGTGTTTACACTTCTCACTGCTCAGCCTGCCAAGGTCTGGTTTGTGTTTACACTTCTCACTGCTCGGCCTGCCTAGGTCTGGGTTGTGTTTACACTTCTCACTGCTCGGCCTGACCAGGTCTGGGTAGTGTTTACACTTTACACTGCTCATCCTGACCAGGTCTGGGTAGTGTTTACACTTCTCACTGCTCGGCCTGACCAGGTCTGGGTTGTGTTTACACTTCTCACTGCTCGGCCTGCCCTGGCCTCAGAGTATTGGCCTTCCTGAGCATTTACAGAACTAAAAGCAAGTATGCGTGTCCTCATCTGTGCTGGCTATCTGGCTCTTCCATTGAGAGTATGCCAACGCTGGGGTGTGTAAATAACACCTAGCCGTGGCCCTGGCCTGTGAGATGTAGTAGCCAAGATCCTTACATCTATTATAGATGGAGGGTGTAGAGGGGTCGGAGACTGCAGCAGAGGTGTATGAAATGAGACCCTTTTTCGTTTAAAATGGGAGCCCCCGGCCTTCTGGTGCTCCAGCAAGTTTGTCATGATTAATTCCTGTGTGACATGATCCTCGCTGTGGGCTGTTCTTGTCCCTGTCTGTGTCTCGCTCCCTATTCCCTGTGAAGCTCCCGTTTATTTCCTGAGCGATGTCTTTGCATATGCATAAAGCACCGGAGACGGTGCGAGCGCGCTGAATTACGTATGCTAATCGCTGTCTCCTTCTTCTTCTCCTATCCTGACCTGCAGCGGGGAGAAGAGAAGACGTGAGCAGGAGAGCAAATACATCGAAGAGCTGGCCGAGCTGATATCAGCAAACCTCAGCGACATTGACAACTTCAATGTCAAACCTGATAAATGTGCAATCTTAAAAGAGACCGTCAGGCAGATTCGCCAGATTAAAGAACAAGGTACGCTCCGCTCCGCTTATGCTTTTGTCTTTGGAAAGTCCGTAAAGGACAATGGGGGGATTTTATTGGGTGTCGTCAAAAGAGGATCTGCCGCTTTTTTATTATCAATGTTTAATGGATTTATGACACAAATATACACGTCATTGTTTCTAGTATTTAAAACGTGTCCAGTATGGGAGCACCTTGAAGCTGAGTCTGTATCGTCCATTTTCTGTCCTCCTTCCCTTTACATACTTTTGTTCTACATAAAATAAATGTGGTAGCACCTCCTGAGAGCTGATACTCACACCCAGCTATTGAGGGCACATTCACACCACATACAGATCATCTGCAGACCAGATAGTTTCCGGACTCAAAATGCATCCTAATGTATCCCTATGCTATTTCTGGCCTCTGTTCACACCAGCGCAGTCCGTTCCAGGCCAGAAAAAATACTGTGTGTCTCGTTTTGTCAGGTCTGGAATGCACTTGAACTGCGGCAGGTCCACATTATTTTCCCGGACCAGATCTGGTCCGGAAAATGGTGTGAGCCTGCCCTCAACAATTTATGTTCAGTAAGTTCACATTCCGGAATTACAAACACCTTTATCCATGAGTAACATTGACTGGCCTTGGCATTTTTTACTCCCTCTCCCTCTATTGGTCATCTGTATATCATAGAGCGTGAATGGCATTCCTGCAAAACCTAAGAACAAATGTGTCATTTCTTTTTCGTCTATTGAGGGACACAGGACTTCTTTAACCTTCAGGTTATACTGCCTCCTACAGGAACAAAACAAATCCCCGGCCCCACTACCAGCATGCCTCTGTTTTTTTTCTTACAGGGTTATTCACAGAAGGGTGAAGAGTTTGGAGAAGTGAACGATCCAGGACAACATCGCTGAACTGGAAAGTGAGCTGAATGGTAGAGTTTTTCCAGATCGGCTACGTTGTCCTAGAGCAGCGGTTCTCAACCTGTGTAACCTCAGGACCCACAATTGTCCTTGGTCATTTAGTCGCGACCCAAGATGCACTGCAATGGAACGCATGGCATGTGGTACCGCGCGTTCCGATGCGGGCGATAGAACTGTGGATGGCACTCCCACACCGGAATGCGCTGTGACGGAGCACCATCCATTTGTGCATCACCTGTAGAGGTGCTGTGAGCAATGCACGTATGGATGGAGCTTCCTCACGGCCATAAGCCCAGCCCACCCCACCTCAAGCAGACACTCGGCACCGGGCGGCATATTTTGAATAGCTGCATGGCGCGAGGACTGACGGTGCTGCGCTAGGGGGAGGCAGAGGAGCCTCTCGCCTAGAAAAGTGGAAGGCATGCGGCGACCCACTGAACATGGGGTCACGACCCACTTTTGGGTCACGACCCACCAGTTGAGAACCAAGGTCCTAGATTGTTCACTTCTCCTGCCTTCTTCAAACTCGTCACCCCTTTGTGAATAACCCTGTTAGTGTCCTAGAATGATGAGCGTCTTTGCTTCAGTGGCGGCTTACATCAATCATCAGGGAGGAACCAGAAGTTTAGCCGCATCAAGTGACGTAGATCAGATCCTGTACTGGGCTGTGTTTCATGTTCCAGCCTTGTCCGCCAAGTACTTTTCAGGCATAGACAATTAGCACACAGACTTCTTTTAAGCGGCAGCTCCTAAACCCGAGGCAGCGGTCCCTACACCCGGAGAGCCTGCGTCACACAGGACATGGCACGGAAATTGCATTTCTGGCGGGATCAACAGGTATTTTCTGTAGTTGCAGTAAATGTACTCGGCCTGAAAAAAAGAAAACTAATACAGCTCCCGTATCTAATGACTGCGAAGGCGCAATATATGACATTCTTGTACTTCAATTACCGTATTTGCCGGCGTATAAGACGGGTTTTGAGACCTTAAAAAATCCCCCCCGAAAATCGGGGGTCGTCTTATACGCCGGGTACATACGGAAGGATACGGTATACTGTATGTAGCTTCGGCTACATACAGTATACCGCGCTGAGATCTTTTATGTATCAATACGTTTTGATGAACAACATGAGAGCAATAAAGTCGGATAGAAACAATGTAGTATCTAGAGCTGACAAACGGCAACACTGAGAAATGTCAAGCCGGATGCAGTCATAGTATCAAAAAGTAGGAAGAACTACAGAAAGAAGAAGAAGAAAAAAGGACAATTCCAGATAGAAGAAAAAAAAGTAGGGGAGGGGCATCACCGGGACTTCCCAAATCAGTAAAAGTGGACTACATTATACGCAGCAGTCTACAAAACCAGGAGGCAGTCAAAGGACGAAGGTAGGTAGTGCCTAATCCAGGGTCCCCAGACCTTCTCAAATTTGGCCATATTGTCCCTATTCCTTGCTATTAAGTTTTCATTCATAAATATCCAATGGATCCTGTTTTTCACCTCCATAAAAGCCAGGGCCTTGCGATACATAATTTACCAGCGGTGAGGACATGTAACATGAGCCTGAGTTGGGACTTCTTGAGTCCTCTTGGCTCAAGGTTGAGGAGTCCTTCCACCGGACACATTGGCACAGCTGGGACTTTGTGAGTCCTCTTGGCTCAAGGTTGAGGAGTCCTTCCACCAGACACATTGGCACAGCTGGGACTTCTTGAGTCCTCTTGGCCTAAGGTTGAGGAGTCCTTCCACCGGACACATTGGCAGAGTCTTCCCCATCAGTACTGAAAGTAATCTACAGTCTCTCTCTTTCATAGATTTTGCACTACTGGGCACATCCAGCATTTGTGCAAAAACGTGCCCATATCCGCACAGCCTCTGAAACACTTCCCCAAGGGTTTCATTATCCTCTAAGGGGAACCTGTGCTTGGTGTGTGCAGAACAAATCAACAGGGTCATGCTACTTTATCCCTCCTCAGCAACGCGTTCTGAACTCCCTTCTATTCCATTCATCCACCAGAAGGGTACAAAAGTCTTATATAAGCTAGAAGTCTCCAGTTGTAGCTTCCTTAGGGCTATGGAATTCCCATGTGACTGCACTGATTGGCCCAGCACGGTCACATGTTCCTCCCTACCTGAAGTACCAGGCATTTCCTTTGGTTCCTGATGTTCAAATCAGCAGCAGGGGGGTGAGGGAAAGGTATATTCTGGAAAGGGGGAAGAGAGGAAGGCAAACCTGGTGCTTTGCCATGAATGGTATTTCAAGATGCACATTCATATACCTGTAGACTCCTTCCCAAGTGTCTTTGTGTTGATCAGACTTGTGTGAACTAGATCTTTATGGCAGCAGTGTTTTTCAATGAGGGGGGCCGCTGTCAGCCAACAGTGATCAACAGCTGGCATGCAGTGTCACAGGCCCCGAGCTTCTTCCATGTGTCCCAACGGCAGGAGATCACCGTCTATAAATATCCAACTTCAAAACCCCCCGCAGATATCACAACTATTCCCCAAGCTGATGTAGCAGCATGTAAAGCAGCGTTCTGTTTACAAAGCCACTCTTTATTTGGCCTATTAAACATAAGAAGTGTCAGCAGTGGTGGAAACGAGCCTATAAACGGGTGATGTGAAAGTCGTTAAATAAACCGGTTTATAGACTGCTCAGACAGTGGCGACACGTGGGGATGATCTGCTCTTTGCTGGGCCCGTTCTTTCTCCTTATTTCAAGCGAATCGGTATATAAATGACAAGCAATACAACGAATATATTCATCCTGGATCATTGCGCCTACGTCTAGTGCAGTGGGTCGCGACACAAAAGTGGGTCACAACCCACTGTTGAGGGGGTCACCACATGCTTTGTGCTGAGTTAGGCGAGAGGCTCCACAACCACCTCCTAGAGCAGCAGTGTCAGTTCTCCGGCCGCGCCGCTAGATGGCGCTGCCGCACCGGCAGCCGAGGAGGATCAAAGAGAGGGGAGCTGGCGGGTGTGAGGGGAGTTGAATGCTGGCTTGGCCGCCAGAGAGCCCCATTGAGCTCACATGAACCCACACTGGCCCGCCAGAGAGCCCACACTGGCCCGCCAGAGAGCCCCATTGAGCTCACATGAGCCCACACTGGCCCGCCAGAGAGCCCCATTGAGCTCACATGAGCCCACACTGGCCGCCAGAGAGCCCCATTGAGCACACATGAGCCCACACTGGCCGCCAGAGAGCCCCATTGAGCACACATGAGCCCACACTGGCCAACTGAGAGCCCACACAGATACTAGTATTGGTGCATTCCTAAATTTTACCATTGGGGGGGGGGTCACCACAACCTGGCAAATGTTACCAAGGGGTCCCGGCCCAAGAAAGGTTGAGAACCGCTGGTCTAGTGTGTAGGAGGCGAGAAGAGGAATGAACAGTTTGTAAGGAATGGTCTCGTGTGTAGGAGCTCCTCAGATCGCGGGATGTTAATCGACACAATAAAGGTGTTTAGGAGTTTGTAAGTATATTAAAAAAAAGAAGACTCCCTTTTTTATCTGGTTCATTTCCTTGTATCAGGAGGAAATTTACTTTTTACCTCACGGTGGGGGATGTTGGGGAACTTTGGGTGATGACAACACTACACCACCACCAACAACAACAACGTCGTCCTCCCTCTTCTGTTGAATATGTGTCTCTGTCGGTGAAGGAGAAATCGGCTTTTTATGTAGTAATCTGTGAATAGACGTACTGAAAGCCAGAACATTTTATGACTTTTATCTCAATCCCTTTCTGATGAGAACAAACCAATAAAGGAAAAGAACAAACACAGTATAGTTAGTTTGCCGTTAGATGTTTGTACAGATCCAATATAAAGAGTTTGTTGTGCTAGTAACCATCTCATGGAGGTGATGGTTGTGATTGAAGACGGCTGTCGGACTGCACTGGATACATAAAGTGTATCTAAACCCCAGAAGAGAAATGTTGTTTATTACACCTTACCAGACTTTAGATCTGGCCGCCACATTTGTTCCTTTTTTTTATTATTATTATTATTATACAGGATTTATAGAGTGCCAACAGTGTGCGCTGCGCTTTACAATATAAGGAAGACATTACAATCACAATGCAAATCAAGACAAGATGGTAAGGCGGGCCCCGCCCCTGAGGGCTTACAATCTAAAAGATTTCAGGTTTGTTCCCTTTTATTTCCACTTGGTGAACCTGCCAGTAACACACTTCCTGTCTTAGGGTGACAACACTCACTTGCTGCATTGTGCGGAGGAGCAGCATTGTCACCATTTGGAGGTGAAGTGTGTTAGGACTTCAGAACACCTCCCTTCTACGTAAGATAGAGCGGGGGCTTTTTGTAGCCTTCAGAGATGACATTTGTAACTGATAGGAGTCAGCAGAGAACATAGGAAGTTACAAGTTCACATGATGTCTGGCAGGATCAGCAGGTTTTTTTTTTTTTTAACAGATCTAACAAAATGCTTTTTTATTATATTTAACAGATCAAAAGGAAAGAAATTTGGTTAGAGAGATTTAGATGCAATTTTAAAAATGAATCCTTAATTCTGAACCTAAAAACACAACATGTCGCCTATTGCGTCTCGGCATTCCTTAGCTGGGGTGGCTGCGTTTTGTTTTCTGCTTTCCAGAGAAGAACATCTTTTCTGCAAGCACAGAAAATACTCGTTGATCATTACAAGTGAGATGTAATGTCTCCAAAGCAAAGGGAAAAACCCCATTTTTGTTTTCACTGGGACCGGCAACCTCATTGGATGGTTTTCACTTCCTGTTCTGTTGACCACTTTGGATTTCCCATCATGTTCTATTCCACTGACGATGGCTCCCGGGGCAAAGAGAGTGAATCCTATTGGATAGTTTTCACTTCCTGTTTGGACTTCCCATCATGTTCTATTCCACTGACAATAGCTACCTGGACTAATAGAGTGAATCCCATTGGATAGTTTTCACTTCCTGTTTGGAGTTCCCATCATGTTCTATTCCACTGACAATGGCTCCCGGGGCAAGGAGCGTGAATCCCATTGGATAGTTTTCACTTCCTGTTTGGATTTCCCATCATGCTCTATTCCACTGACAATGGCTCCCGGGGCAAAGAGTGAATCCTATTGGATAGTTTTCGCTTCCTGTTTGGATTTCCCATCATGCTCTATTCCACTGACAATGGCTCCCGGGGCAAAGAGAGTAAATCCCATTGGATAGTTTTCACTTCCTGTTTGGATTTCCCTTCATGTTCTATTCCACTGACAATGGCTCCCGGGGCAAAGAGAGTAAATCCCATTGGATAGTTTTCACTTCCTGTTTGGATTTCCCATCATGTTCTATTCCACTTACAATAGCTACCTGGACTAATGGAGTGAGTGTCATTGGTGGAGACATGTAGCCTGAATGGGGGTGGCCATTAAACAATGGCTGTACCCGGCAGCTGATTATATTTATATCCTAACAGGTTGTCCTTAAGATATGCTGCGATCTCCTGGCCTTCTTCATGCGATCTTTGATCTGGTCTTTGCATAAATCTTTTTTTCCTGCTTGTGTTTTAGGAAAGGCTTCCTCCAACGACGATGAGGTCCAGAAGGCAGACGTGTCATCCACAGGGCCGGGGGTGATCGATAAGGATTCTTTGGGGCCTCTTCTGCTGCAGGTGTGTACAGCCGTCATTGGACCGATCTATTGGCGTATCACCGGGCCTTTCACTGTCATGTGACATGGACAGTATGGGTGAGACCATGCCGTTTCTCGTGTGACATTTTGCGTGTCTCCGTGGACAGGCGCTGGACGGGTTCCTGTTCGTGGTGAACCGGGAAGGCAGCATTGTGTTCGTGTCGGAGAACGTCACCCAGTACTTGCAGTACAAGCAGGAGGATCTGGTCAACACCAGCGTCTACACCATCCTGCACGAAGATGACCGCAAAGACTTCCTCAAGAATCTGCCCAAATCCACAGGTAGGTCGCACTATATTGGGCAGGAGGTAAGTGGCAGAAAGCCATAGTTTTTTCTTTTGGTAGTGATGGCAACCATTTGCCTTGCTCTTTTGTGATCCGAATGACCCGGGTGGTGGGCGGGACCTGTTTGCCATGGCAGGAGGAGCCACTGTCAATCAAACACTCTTCCCTGTCCCATCTGAGAGTGCTGCTGGCAACATAGGCAGCCGGACACCTGACAGGGGGTAGGTAATAGTGTTTGATTGACAGGGGCTCCTCCTGTCATTGCAATTCACGGCAAGGCAGACTGGTCTCAATCACCTCCCTGGCTGCTCAGATCCAGGAAGGAGCAAGGCGGTCATGTGACCTGGTACAAAAGCTAAAGGTATTTGGAAACTTTTTTTTTTTACACATTGCTTTATAATTAGATTTAGTGGGAAATTCTCTACTTAGATTTGTAAAAAAAAAAAGGGCATTTTGAGGGTTGCAGCCACTTTTAAAAAAAAATGTAACTTTCATTGTTAACCTTTTTAATAAATAAATGTGCCGGACTAACAATAACTCCTCTTATTTTCCTAAAGTTAACGGGGTGCCGTGGTCGAATGAAACCCCCAGACAGAAGAGTCATACGTTTAACTGCCGCATGCTGGTAAAGACGCCGTTGGATCACCTGGAAGATGGCGGTATGGACCCGCGGCAGAGATACGAGACCATGCAATGTTTCGCCTTGTCGCAGCCACGTGCCATGATGGAGGAGGGGGAAGGTCAGTGACTCGGCCTGCATTACACGGGGGTCTAATCTTATCGGTGTAACATACAACCTATGGTTCACATGGATCTGGACACTGAACATCATATCGATGGTCACAGAGCTGTTCTTGGTGCGAGGATCTCGGGACTTGTAGATCTGGGGGAGACTTTTCAGCACTTAAAGGAAAACTATGGGGTCAGTGCTTTTCCCCATAGTTCTCCTTAGGGTAACGGGAGGACACAAACTAGCGTCCTTCGATTACCCTAAGCTCAGTATACTGAGACGTCGCAGCCGGAGCGGATCCCGACGTAGATGACGGGATCCGCCCAGCTGCGTGACTGACAGCTGGCTCTGCCTATCTAGAGGCAGAGCCAGAGCCTCCATATTCAGCACTATTTTAAGTAGGGATGCACCGATACTGTTTTTTTTGTTATCGAGTACAAGTACCAATATTTTTTTTTTCGGTACCGATACCGGAAGACCCATTAAGGCAGCCAAGCAGCTTCCTGATTAGCCGGGACTCGCCACCCGGCTTCCCAATTAGCAGGGTAGCTGTCTCCATGCTCCCTCGTCACCAGGTGACGAGGAAGCATGGAGCCGGCTTTCTGGCCAATCAGGAAGCCGGGTGTCCTGTAATGACTCGTTGCATGGCTTCCTGGTTGGGTGAGAAGCTGGTCATTCAGGAAGCCGGGCAATGAGTCATTACACGGCGCCCCGCTTCCTGATTGGCTTCATGCTTCCTCGTCGCCAGCTGGCCAATCGGAAAGCTGGTGGGCGGGTAATGACACGCCGTCCGGCTTCCCGATTGGCCAGCTTCCCGATTTGGTCAGCAAGTTTTTAGATTGTAAGCCCTCAGGGACGAGGGCCCTCCTTACCATCTTGAATTGTGATTGTAATGTCTTCCTTATATTGTAAAGCGCTGCGCTAACTGTTGGCGCCATATAAATCATGAATAATAATACTAATTACACACCGCCCGGCTTCCTGATTGGCCGGGAAGCCGGCTCCATGCTCCCTCGAGGGAGCATGGAGCCAGCTTCCCGACCAATCAGGAAGCCGGGCAGTGTGTAATGACTCGCTGCCCAGCTTACTGATAATGGAAGCTCAGGTATCGGGCTAGGCATCGGAGCATTTGGATGAGTACTCGCTCCAAATACTTGGCATCGGCACCGATACCAGTATCACTGCATCCCTAATTTCAAGGTTTATGGGGCTTCGAGTTGATATTAGACGTCTTATTGAGAGATTGGGTCGGATTTTCTATGTTATTTCCCTGACCTATTAGGCTTCTGTCATTGTGTTGTATAATGCAGTAATATATTCTGATTAATGTCTCTCCCCTCCCCTCTTCTGTTTCATCAGACCTGCAATCCTGCATGATCTGTGTGGCCAGACGTATCACGACCATAGAGAGAGTCTTCTCCGGCAGCCCAGAGAGCTTTATCACCCGACATGACCTCTCAGGTGAGACGCGGCTGCTGCAGCGGTATGTGTGTGTGTGTGCGTGTGCAGAAGAGCCGTGCCCGAGTCTGTTTACTCCAGATAGTAGAAGCAGTGCACTGCAGATGTTATCACTGGAGACTGACAGCGGCTCAATCACACCACCTGTTGGCCGTCAGATGCATTGCGTGGCGGGGATTGCGCCGCCGACCTTCCTGCATGGTTCCCTGGTGAAGAGGGTTGGTTTGATGCATCTCTGTAGACGATATCTTTGGGAGGGATGCAGGAAAGCTCTCGCTCTTATGACATTAGTCTGTTTGTTTTTATTCCGCCAATGTATCCCTCTCATTTAAAGGGAACCTGATGGTAAAAGCAGCATTCTGGGAGAATGTCATCCTAGCCTGCTGGGAGAATGTCATCTTAACCTGCTGCTGGCCGGAAGGACCATTTTGTGCATTCCCTCCTCCCTAGTGATGAGTGTTGGGCAGGTGACATGGTGAGAGGTAGCAGGGGGCTGATCTGTGTCAGTCTAGAATAGATGTTTACACTGGCATGGTGAGACAACGGTCACTATTGGGACAGAACTTGAGAGGGACCCGGGACCCAGAGAAAAAAAAAAAAGGTACAACATCCCCTTGTGCATGGGTAAGATATGTTGCTAGTGCACCAACAAGCTTGTTTCACAGTGAAAGTGTATTTTATTGCGTGATGTCATAGATAAGCAAGGTATTGGGACCACGCAGCCACCCTGGCTTGTAATAAAAACAAATGATGTGCAGGGACTTGGTGTGAACCCAGTTCACTGGAGTTTGCCCAAGCCCACACAAAACTGGCACACACCCCTCTCCTGATCCAGTCAGTGGTGAAAGGGGTATTCCTCACCCCCTTCCCAAGT